TTTTCTCTTACATAATGTCGGGACCTTATTCAAAACAAAAATAATTATGATTATTTATTACTATTGTAAGTTGACAATTTTTTTTTAAAAAAGCATAGTTTTTGTTACATAAAGTTTATTCAAATCTCAGTCTACCAATATAAAATTCATCTAATAATTTTAATACAATAATTTTACCTACTTTTCTTACATTTAATATTTTTATGTTGTTATATCAAAATTTTACCTACTTTTCAAAATAATATTTTTATCTTCTGTAGTTAAGGTTAATAAGTAATATACGTTGTGTTTGTAGGTTGTGGATGTGCTTGGAACCAACAAGCAGAAGAGGAACCGTGATGGGTAGGCATTGTCAACTATCTGTTTTTGTTTTTGTTTTTGTTTTGTTTATATGAAGGTTTTAATAACTGAGGATTTATGTATAGGTATGAAGATGGAGAGTCCATTTTGAGAAGAGTTGCATCTGCTTCTGATTTCATCTGGTCTGAGAATCCTCTTGAGGTTCTTGGGACTGTTACTTCTTTATCCTTTGATAATGAAGCCTCTCTACCTTTAAAGGATCATGAGTTGACTACAGAGGAGGTACTGCTCTCTGGTTTGCCATATTTTAACTAAATGATTATATATGATCTAGACCTTCTGGTAACCTTTTTTTTTCTGGAGGCAGATTAAAATTCTTTGTGACGATCTTCCGGTTTTGGGAAAGAATGACTTCAAGTACATCTTAAAGTAAGAACTGCGTTGCTTACTCCTTCATGGACCCTTTTTTAATCTTTAAATCTCACTTGTTTATTTCTTAATTATTCGAGGAACGTGATAAAGCTTTATTTTGTAAATATTGTGCGTAAAATAGTCTATATTTGGTGTCAGTGGATCTTTAGATTGTTGTGAAGGAAAATGTGGGTTTGTTATGACTCTCTTACTATTTGTAGCACAGATATTGAACTCTCGTTTTCTTGTAGATGGCGAATGCAACTCAGGAAAGCTCTGACTCCTGAGAAGAAGGAAGTAGCTAAAACGGAGCCTGATGTGGAAAAAGAAGAGTTAAATGAGGATGATAAACTTCTTAATGAATTAGAAGAGCTGACAAACGCAGTAGATCGCAAGAAGAAGCAGGAAAAGAAGCTTCTTGCAAAACGACGAGCTAAGGTTAGTTTTAGAATTTTTTGTTACATTCTAACTGGTCATCTCCGGTAGTAAATGAGATAATCTCGTTTCTTCCAGTGTTAGAATTTCTAATCAGATGCTTTCTAATCTTTATACTGTCTAAGGTGGTGGTCGTATTGATGGATATTTTCGATCTTATACTTCCTTTTAACTAAATTCGATATAATATGCCAGGATAAAACACGGAAGGCGACTAATCCACAGATAGATGCACTTGAAGATGGTTATGTGGACCATGATTTATTCTCTCTTGCTGCTATCAAGGTACTCCCATTTTGCATCCAATCCCTAATTGTTTAATATGGCTGATGATTGGCATCAAAGGAAAGCTTGTCGTGCTAAATTTCAGTTGGTTGAATATATGATTGTACTCCGAATCAGCTTGTAAAATCTTCATTTCATTCCAGGGAAAAAAAGATCTTATGGCTGTTGACAATGATGACGATGGTAATGTCAACTCCAATGACGTTGAGACTGAAGACCGTGCTGAAGCTTCAGATGACTCCGAGGACAGTGGCCTAGATTCCGATGAAGAACGTGAGAGGTCAGGCTTATACCTTTTATGTAGATTGCATGCTCAAGTTTGTGTTGTTCGGTTATATTATCTTAGTCTTTTTAACATTACAGATACACTGAACAAATGGAGGAGGCTTTTGATGAGGCATATGACCGGTACATGGTGAAGAAAGGAGGAAGCGCAAAGCAAAGGAAGCGTGCTAGACAGGCACACGCTGAAAAGCTTGAGGTAAGTATCATCACTACTAACCCTCATTTTTGTGGATACTACAGTTTCTTGGAATGAGACATTTTTTTTTTATTGGCTCTGCAGGAGGAGGGTGATGGAGATGAAGAAATGAAACTAGATTACGATTCTGATATGAATGAAGAGATGGGTGAGGCGAACCCTCTTATGGTACCCCTTGACGATGGAGAGGTCCAGACAAAAGAGGAAATATCAAACCAGTGGTTCAGTCAGGACATATTTGCAGAAGCCGTTGAAGAAGGTGACTTGGGTAAAGATGACAGTGAAGACGACATGCCAACTAAGAAGAACCTGTCTATTAAAGCCGAGAATAAGTCAAAGAAGAAGGCGGCGAAAGCAAGCGTGTTGTCTGGTAAACAGACTTCACTCGCTAGCTCTAAGAAGGAAGACGATTTCGAGATTGTCCCTGCACCAGTCACAGATTCCGACTCTGATTCATCCTCAGATGACGACGACGTTCATACAAAAGCAGAGATATTGGCCTGCGCCAAGAAAATGCTAAGGAAGAAGCAGAGGGAAGAGATGCTCGACGATGCTTACAACAAGTACATGTATGGTGACGAAGGCTTTTTACCCAAATGGTTTTTGGACGACGAGAAGCAGCACAGACAACCGATGAAACCCGTTACAAAAGAAGAAATCAATGCGATGAAGGCTCAGTTCAGAGAAATCAACGCTCGTCCAGCTAAAAAGGTGGCAGAGGCCAAGGCGAGGAAGAAGAGAGCGGCAGCGAAAAGATTAGAGAAGGTGAGGAAGAAGGCGAACTTGATATCCGACAAAACGGATATAGCGGACCGTTCAAAGGATAAGATGATTGACAAGCTGTATAAGAAGGCGGCAGAGCCGAGGAAGCCAAAGAAAGAGCTGGTTGTGTCGAAGAAGGGTGTTGGTGTTAAGGTTGGGAAAGGACAGAAGAGAGTGGATAGGAGGATGAAGAGTGATGCTAGGCAACGTGGAGGAGGCAAGCCTGGTAGGAAGGGGAAGAAGAGTGCCACTGGGGGTAAATCAGGGCAGAAAAAACCGAGGGGTAAGAGACCCATGGGAGGTTGATAAGTCCTCAGTGGTCAAAGGTGACGCGAGAGGGTGTTTTGTTCTTAGCCTGATACATTTTATGAGCGTACTTGACTTTCGTTTTTTGGTGTTCTTAAAATCATTACGTATTTGTTTTGTTGGAGTCCCAAGTTAAAAATAGTGGAACTCTCATCTTGTTTACCTTAATGGAAATGCTTCAGTATAAGCCTTGTTATATGAGTGGTGGGTAAAGAGGCATCATGTCTCATTCATTTGATCTTTTTATTCTTTTTTTCGATGTACTATTTTGTAGACTAGGATTGGTGAAATCTGGCCATAGTGTAAGAGATGAAATATCATAAGTTCAGAGTTTTGTATCTTTTGTAACGCTTGTGTGGACTATATAGAGAGTATTGATGTCTTGAATGGCATCTGATTGCATGGGACGGTGACAAGACGCCTCTTTGGTAATAAATCTCGTCCGGTCCCTTGAATTTGGTAATAAATCACTTTCTAGGGACATGAGATTTTGAGTCTCGGGTCAGGTAGTAACGGGGACTGGTCAGGTACAACCAGTCAGATATACGGATCGTTATGGTTAAGCATGATTAAATCCAGTCTCTTAGTCGGGATTCTTAATTTATATATAATTTGTCAACTTTTTTTTTTTTTACACTTTTCGACTAAAAATCGGTATTTATATATCTTTATTTAAGAGATGGTTTTTAGCTTTTTTATTTAAAATTTTTAAAAAGTTAAGAACCGTCTATTAGCTGAAATTAAGAATCTCAGTTAAGAAATCTATATTATAATAGTACACTTTCTAGGCTCCACAATGCGCCACATCAGCAATTTTGTGGGTCCTATAGGTATGTTTTAAAAACTTATAGTCTTAGTAAGATGATTACAAACAATGAAATACACTTTAGCCAAGTGGTATAAGGTGTCTAATAAAGCATACAAGATCGTGGGTTCAAACCACGCAGCCATCATTTATTTTTGATTTTATATTTGGGTTATTATCATATGGGCTTTTTGTTTATAAGTTTTTTATGTATTTTTTTAATGACTTATTGTTTTAAAGATCAAAATAGTTGGATGAACCCTAAAGCTTAACGAGTTCAAACTAAAAATAGTTAAAAATGGATGCAAAAACGAACAAAAAAAAAGCAAGTCTCACGCGGTTGCCTACGCGGATGGCTTAAAGAGCCTTAAAATTATCCTATTATAATATAGTTCAACCCAAAAATAATAAAAAATGAATCCAAAAACGAACCGACCAAAGAAAAAGTGAATCCCACGCGGCTAACTACGTGGATGGCTTAATGAGGCTTGAATAATATAGATTAAGAACTCAAAAAGTGAAATCATTGCACATATTTCCTAATATATATTTTCAAAAAATTTGTATGTGAGATAAAATAAAAAAAACAACAAAAATTAATTATTTTTGTTATTTATCTAATGAATATGTAATTTCTCTTACATTTTAATAACTACTATAATTTCATTGAAAACATTCCTCACCACCGATTTCAGACTCCGGCGAATGGATTCCCACAGTCGATGACGCCGTAACTAAAAATGCCACATCATTTATGAACAAAACTATATAAAACCTATCTAATGAAACTTAAACAACGAATGTTAACTTAATTAAGGTTTATTTCAAATTTATAAATCGTTTAATACAAGTATAAATACTATAAATATAGAATTATATCAAGTTTTGACCTACGATTTAAAACTATTTACAGCAAAAAAAAGACACATACTTTTACACACTAAAAACTATATTATAGCCTAACTATTCATATAAACTTACTTCGCATATAAATAACATTTAACTCATTCCTAATATTTTTCAAAAAATTTGTATGTGAAATAAAATAAAATAAACAACAAAATTTAAGTATTTTTCGTTATTTATTAAATGAATTTGTAATTTCTCTTACATTTTAATAACTACTATAATTTCATTGAAAACATTCCTCACCACCGACTCTAGACTTCGGCGAATAGATTCCTCGATGACGCCGTAGATAAAAATGCCACATCATTTACAGTAAAACCTCTATAAATTAATAATGTTGGGACTTTGAAATTTTATTAATTTATAGAGATATTAATTTACGAAAGTTTCCTTATTTAGATTTTTTTAAAAAAATTTCCATTTTTATTTATAAAATAAAATATTTGTTTTAGCATATGTACATTATGTAAATTTGACTTTTATATTGTTTTATTATCTTATTTGGTGTATATTTTTATGTTTCATGAAATTGTTACATGGTTTTTGAAATATTTTAACTAAATATTAGCAAAATATATTGAAATGTTTAAAAAATAAAAGTATTTTAATAGTAAATATAAAATCCCTAACTAAATATTATCAAAATATAATGAAATGTTCAAAAAAATATAAAACCAACAATATAATGTTAGATTGTATTTATATAAAATTATATATAGCTAGATTATTAATTTATGATTTTAGTGGGACCATATATTTACATGGTAGTTTTAAAAATATTATTATCTTATTATTTTATCGATTTGTGTCATATTTTACACCAGCCCAAGTTGGGACCATTGAAATTTATTAATTTATAGAGATTATTAATTTATCGAGTATTAATTTATAGAGGTTCTACTGTATGAACAAATCCCAAACTTACAAAAAACCATTATAAAAACCTATCTGATGAAACTTAAACAACGAATATTAACTTAATTAAGGTTATTTTTAAGTTGATAAATCGTTTAATACAAATATAAATACTATAAATATATAATTATATCAAATTTTGACATACGATATAAAAACTATTTATAGCAAAAAAAAAAAAAAAATAGACACCTACTTTTACACACTAAAAACTATATTATAACCTAACTGTTCCTATAAACCTTACTTCGCATATAAATAATATTTAACAGATTAGATATACAATATTTTCACTTTACACTCTTACTATATTCTTTCAATTTCTTTAATATTTGGTGTCATTAGAAGAATCCACTAAACCACTAAATCGAAAAAAATATACGCAAACATAATGATTCCGACCCCGCGCTTGCGCGGGGAGTATGCAACTAGTTAGGTTAATGATGGTCTAAGGTTCTGCATGTATACAGTTGTAACGAAAGGCTAACATGTACCAAACAATCCTAACATTAGGAATGTGTAACCTATAGCCCAAGTTGCATTTACTAGTTTTGTATCTTTCTCTATTACATTTTATGGTGGTCCAACAAAAAATGATAAGTAAATATACCGAAAGACAAAGATACTACGAGGAATTTTGAGAACCAATGGAGATATGACACGTAAAGAAGACCCATATGCACAACACTATCTCAGCATCAGCCTCATGAATGGATGTAACTTGTTGCTTTCCTTCCTTTTTTTTTGTCTTTCCTTCCCGTCTTTTATACTAATTTACCCACAGATTTCATTACATAGTTTACATTTACGTACACATAAAAAGTTATGATAAAATTTTATCTATCAATTCATTTGATGTAATTATAGCAGATGTAACTTTAAGAATTAAATCAGAAAAGTAATAAAAATAAAAAGTTATTCTTATATCAATATTTTTTTCTACCACTTATAAAATAATGTTTTAAAAAACAAGACTGCTATCATTATTAAATTTGTTTTACTTTAATTTTAAAAACTAGATAAAATAGGATTGGTAACTTTTAAGATTGTAAATATAAATTAAAGATAAAATCACTTATTACATCCCAACCAAATCACCCCATAATCTTTTGATTTCTTTTTTTTTTTTTGACTAAATCTTTTGATTAACTATTGAAAACATCCCAATGTCTTTTACACTTAGTTAGACATTAAGACAGTAGAGATTCACAAGATTTCAATATATGTTTATTCTTTATATTGCGTAATTATATGAATTTCTTCTGATATCATGTGTGTAAATTAGTATTGTGATTTAACATTTAAAATTAGTACAAACAATTAAGTAGACATTAAGACTGTCAAAATTTACAAGATTTGACATTTAATATTTTGTGAAAGTCAATATTGTGGTAAATTAAACATTTTAAAATTAGACAATTGACACGAAAAAGAAAATAGAATGGCAGAAAATATAATTAATATAATTAAATAAAGGTTGGGTAAGATTAGTGGAGGACAAAGACTAGAGGAAGGGAGATTTCATTACACGAAACAGAACCGTCCTTCACTTGTATTTACTTAATTTCCAAAGTGTCTTTTTGTTCTATATATTTAATTAAAAAAAAGACCCAAATCCAAAATCCTAGACCTCACTGCATATACACCACATCTCTTTCTCCCTCGCATAAAAGGTGAACCACCAGTCACCAGGTAACTCCTCCTTCACCATGGCGTCAGGTCTCTCAACCACCATAACATTCAACCCTCTCCACCGCTCTTTCTCCACCTCCTCCTCCTCAAACTTCCGCTTACACCACCCAAAATCCTTAACCGGACTCCCTTCCTCTCTCCGATTTAAAGGCTTCTCGGTCTGCTACGTGGTTGAGCCGCGGAGACAGAGCTCTCCCCTTGATAACGATGAGAGACTCGAGAGCACCAACGCGATAGATCCCGAACTCTTGGCGTTGCGTTTGGCTGAGAAGTTGGAGAGGAAGAAGTCTGAGAGGTTCACTTATCTTATAGCAGCTGTGATGTCGAGCTTTGGTATCACTTCCATGGCCATTATGGCTGTTTACTATAGATTCTCTTGGCAAATGGAGGTAATAACCAAAAAAATAACAAAAAACTCAATTTTATTTGAAAGTTTCATAATGGTTTTTTTTTTTGGTTACAAAAATGAATCAGGGAGATGCGATCCCAATGTCAGAGATGTTTGGTACATTTGCCCTCTCTGTTGGTGCTGCTGTAAGTACTCAAACAATATCCAAATCTTCTTTAAACGCATACATAAACTTTGGTTGAATCAGTGAATATATTTGCGTATCAGGTGGGCATGGAGTTTTGGGCAAGATGGGCTCATAAAGCTCTATGGCACGCTTCTCTTTGGAACATGCATGAGGTTAGCTTCAGTTCTATCCCTGTGTGAGTATTCAATCTCAAGCTGCTTTATTTTGATTTTTTTTTTTTTTTGGGGCAGTCACATCACAAACCGAGAGAAGGGCCGTTTGAGTTGAACGATGTGTTTGCAATTATAAACGCTGTTCCTGCGATTGGTCTCCTCTCTTATGGTTTCTTCAATAAAGGACTCGTCCCTGGTCTCTGCTTTGGCGCCGTATGTCATCTCTCTATACCCAACTACTATTCTAATGAACTTTCTATATGGTTAGGCCAAAATATTAGTATTAATATTAGCATATTTCGGTGTCTTTTTATTGATACTAAAGGTCAAAACAATTAGTATTTTATTCTCTGTGGACATAGGCTTAAAGAAACGTATCTCTCTTTCAAGATTTTCTGTCTCTTAAGTATATGTATTTTAATAAAAGACATCGGGATCTTGGGTTCATGTGATAACAAAAATGATTCGTTGGTTGCATTAATACCATAAGATTGGTGGCTTGCTTTGTTTTCGGCTCAAAACGCCGTTATGTTGCGTCCGCGTTTGCCTTTTTGCTATAAATGTTGTGTCTCTTTCCTTGTTACAGGGACTTGGAATAACGGTGTTTGGGATCGCCTACATGTTTGTCCATGATGGTTTGGTGCACAAGCGTTTCCCTGTAGGTCCCATCGCCGACGTCCCTTATCTCCGGAAGGTCGCCGCCGCTCACCAGGTACCTTTTACTACCTCCATTGACTTATCGGTCAACTACAAATTAAAGTGTTGAAAAAAGTATAAACGGTTCCTTTCCCAAAACAGAAATAATTTTGTTTATATATTTTTTGGCTTTAAAAATAAAAATAAAATAAAAATAAAAACAATGTTTTTTGAAATAGTAGGAGCATTTCATGATATAACACTTTGTGGGATCATTCCTAATTATAAATTAAATTTGATTTTTTGTAATCTTGTGCATGATTTTATTTCAGCTACATCACACTGAAAAATTCGATGGTGTGCCATATGGACTGTTTCTTGGACCAAAGGCAAGTTTCTGGACTTGCTATAGCCTATAGCTTCTTTGTTATGTTGCCTTTTAATAATTTAATTTTTGACATTATGAATTGGTGGTGATTCTAGGAGTTGGAAGAAGTTGGAGGAGATGAAGAGTTAGAGAAGGAGATTAGTCGGAGAATCAAATTATACAAAAAGGGTTCGGGTTCCGGGTCGAGTTCTTGACTACTTAAAAACATGTTTTATATTCTCTCTTTTTTTTTGGTCTTTTGTCATGATCTGAAAAACGGTCGATGTTTATAAATCATATATGCCGTTTTGATTTTTTTTAAAATTATAGAATTAGGATAATTATGACTTATTTACCTTATAATTCATTACCTAGATTTCACATGATCAATCTTATGCAATCACCCATAATATAAACGACAGTCGAACATAAAGCTAGAAAAGTAGGTCTTATACAATTAACTAAGCTGATTAGTATTATTATAAACATACTAATCCGACTAATAATTTTAGAAATACTGATCACGACCCCTTACAATGATTCAATGAATATGAACAAGGTGAGCATTATACATCTTTTACTTCTCCGAAAAAACTGAAATGTATTTGACTTATCAATATTTTGCGTATGCATGCAAGACTGCAACCAACAAATTAATTTTCAACAAGTTAAATATTATTTCCTATCTAATAGACGCCAAATCAATTGACATCTACCTGTATATTGATGCTTCTGGAATTTTCTTCTTTAGGTTATAAGTTTATATAATCTTACGTTCACAGTATAGTATGGCTGCTTCTACGCGATCCTGCGGAAGATGGCCCATCGAACGTTGCGTGTAACGTCATAATTTATAAGATAAAGATAAGGTTAGAAATCAAATTGGAGCATGCAATCACTTATTTTAAGAAAGTAAATTAAGACATTTGTGAGTGAGTATAACATGCAAAGATAGAAGATGAATAAGGAGAGCTCACAAATTAAGACAGTATGCAAATTAAATAATATATTTTGACCATTTATGGAACTGGAATAAATCTTGCACTTCAATTTTCAGAAGCTTCTGCGAGTGAATATAGCATGTGAATATAGAAAAGGAGTAAGAAGACACGTCTGAAGCTAAACAGTATAAGTCGTAACCATTGTACAGTCAAAGATTATGTTAGTGCTGTCTCTTTATATATTAAAAGTAACTTGGCGGGTGAGATCATAAAAAGGGAAATGACTCTTTAAAGAGAAAGTTATGGATACGTGTTTCGTGCTTAGTCTGTTCCACAGAACTAAGTCACTTTTATTCCACTAAAAGTGGTACATCACTGTAATTTCTCATCATGCTAAGTGGAAATTATTATGTACACTCTCACGAGACTATCCAATTAAACCCGGAGAGACAAAGGAGAACAAATTATTTGATTATTCGTAATCTAGATAGTGAAAGCGAGAGAGGATGAGGTGGCGTGAACGCATAATTAGATAATGACATAAAACGTGCGATATAAAACAATAGATGCTATTTACACAAATAGGAAGTTCGATACGCTTTTGACTAAGAAACTCCAATATAACCAATAACGCACTAATCAATAAGTAATCCAGAAAATTACACATTTTGTTTAGAAAGTCTTATGTTTTATATTTCTTTTTAGTTGGTGTAAAGTGTAAGTTCATTCGTGGACGAATGGTAAGCCTTGTGGCCACTCCACCGAGTCGCCGACCAAAGTGACGATTATAATTTTTTAACGTAACCAAAATGAGATAAACGCGCTTTACAGAGTTTATGTTTCAATCCACAACAATCTAATTAAGGTGTCCTACTTTGATACGTGTCTTAGTGACACTTAAACTAACTGAAAACTAATACAAATTTTTTTTTAATAATTCTTACGCGTCAAAGTGTTCAAAGCCTGAGTGAAAGTTACTTATGTAAAATAGGTTTAACCCCACAAACCGGATGAACCATGTCAAACCAGTTTAAACCAACAAACCGGATGAAACGATGTCAAACCAGTTTAAACCAACAAACCGGATGAAACCATTGGTCGAATCAATAAATACTAACCAAAGACCACTTCTTGCAATACAAGCATGACGAAGACCATAGGAAAGCAAAAATGAAACTCTTGTTTTCTTAGAAAAGCTAATGCAATATTTAGGGAATTATTTCAAGATGATGTTATGATCTTGATCTCGCAAAAGCTTTCAAGGAAAGGATTTTGAATCTGTTTCAAATTCAACCCCAATGAATCTCAAAATCCTCAATTTTCAGTTTCCTATTGGCAAGAAAGACAGTTCATCTCTGGAATCTGGATCCATTATTAAGACCAAAAAAGTATAGGGCAATTTCTAATATGCACCTGTATTTTTATATCAGTCCACTTTGTTAATTAGAAAATCTTATGATTCGTATTTAAGGCAATGCTGCTTCCATAAGCCCGGTCGGTTCACCTATCATCCCTATGGTAAAAAAAAACATAGGACAATTATAATAACTTTTACATTTTGTGCTTATTTTTCTATCCTTGTCTTAACTAAGACACTTTAGATAGTGTTCATTTATAAAGTCAATCCTGCTTCCAAGCTTATATTTTTCCACTTTGAAGTAGTCCTGATGGATACAAAACCTTACCAATAAAGAGGGAAATTAAACAACCTCCCAACCTCTTCAAAAATCAATGAGAGTTGTTGTAAACCTCTAGTGCAGAATTGTTAAGTAAGCTACAAGACTGAAACTAATGCTTATGCGAAACTTGCTAATCCTCTTATCAGATTTAATTTAAAACCTTTTGTTAATTGTTTGTCATGTTTAAAGAATTGTCGTGGAAGTTGTAGGTTTAATTGTTTCATTCTATCTATGGCATGCTCTTTGTATGCTTATATGAGTTCTTGAAGTTTGGTGATTAAGGAATTCCATATTCATCAAAATGATCAGGCTTTTAGATAGTATCTTGTGTTATTGTTGACTTGTCTTGAAATCTATATAGTCGTTGACTTTTTTATTTCCTTAGGTTAGGATATGATCCCTTGAACACAACAATTCGTGGTAGTAACTAATACAATTGGTTTGTAGAACTGTTAGCTTCTTATAAATGCTATTGTTTGTTTGGCCTAGTAAAAATATGCTTCTGCTTTAGGATTGATGTTATTCTGCATAGGCTTCTCTGTGTTTCTCCGTTGCAGCTTTTAAACTAATCAAATTGTCAATGCAGAAAATGGGAGAGTCTAAAGGGTATGGGAAAGGAGGACGAGTGATCCCAAATGTTATGTCTTCAAACTCTTACAACGTCTCTCTTCAGTTGTCTCCTGTTGTTTCTTTTTGGGATTGTATTGTCCGAACAATGAGGTAATCCTATATACCAGAGTGGATGTATTAGTAGTAGTAGTAGTTCTTGAGATCAATGTCCTCTACGATTTTGTTTAGTTAGAATTATAGATATATTATAAGGAAGCAATTATGGATCAATGTGTGTTCAAGCAAGTTCAGCCAGTAGCTAGAAAAGATAAGAAGAGCAAGAAACATGATAAAGATGAGTTTGATCGTGTCAAACAAGCTGAGAAGAAGAAGAGACGTCTTGAGAAAGCTCTTGCTACTTCTGCTGCCATAAAGGCTGAGCTTGAGAAGAAGAAGCAGAAGAAACTTGAAGAACAACAGAGGTTAGATCAAGAAGGTGCTGCTATTGCAGAAACTGTTGCTCTTCACGTCCTACTGGGAGAAGATTCTGATGATGATGATTCATCTCGAGTGATGCTTGGGGGAGAAAAGGGTTTCAAGATAGATATGTTTAGAGGTGGAAGCTATGCGGTTCAAGGGATTGGGTTTGTGTCAAACGGTTATGGATTAGGAGGAGACAGTAACTGGTGGCCACTCAGGAGTGACAACATGGGAATAATATCAGCTGAGTTGGTTGCTACTCAGGTTGTGTCGTTGCTACAGATATCTGAACACAGTGACGGGAACGCCTTCTTGTTTAATGGATAACTAAATGTTTTGATTATTTCAGAAGCTCTTTTGGTTGCTATGGTGTGAGATTTGCTCTTCTTTATTTACTTTGTTTTCTTCATTGACATATGTAGTTGTATTCATCATACAATGCTACAAACTCTTCATATCTGTATTACTGTTATCTTATATCACAGTACCTTCACAAAATTTCTTAACTGTATACAAAACATATACTGAGACTTGCCTGGTCACTGAAACATCGTTGATTACTGTATTACTGCTCTTAACTATATGCAAAACATGTACTGAAAGAGTTGGGTTCCAATGGTGTTATACAGTTAAACCTTATGAATGCATTGGTAAAGTGGAGCATGAGGGTAAAGTGAAAACTAACAGACATGTCACTTTTTACTTGAGATTACGAGTAACAGAAACCTCCTGAATCACTTCACTTAATTTGGATCTTTAGACCACTTAACAAGCATGAGCATTCATGAGAAACTACACAAGTCTCTCCATAAAAATATCAATATCTAAGTTTTATGATTATGTTTGATTTATTTTTACAAAGTCAAATCACTAAATACAAGGCATGTGCAAGCTCAAGACGCATGTGCTTCTGGTCCTACTTAGAATATCAAAATTTTCGACTTTCATTTTCAACAAAATTTTCAGTATAGTAGTTGGTTTATTGTTAGTGTCAAGTGGTATTGGATTCGAGAGTGTAACCAACTTCCTTTTCCATTTTTTATATATAAATAGTCCAATTTTTTTTTTCCAACTCACAATTGTTCAGAATCGAGTCTGTACGCGGGCCTGTCTCATAACTAAAATAGAATTTCTCTTGGTACATACAATTTCTCTTCGCATTTATCAATTCTTTGAACCTCTCATCAAAGATGACCTTAGGGCTTAGGAGTATATATAGTGGTAGAGATTCTCATTAACATTAAGTTTCTCAAAAGAAAAAGTAGTGAAGAAGGAAAAAGGAAGAGAAGGGAATATAATCTATTATCTCATAAGAAACTTTCAACACTTTGTAAATGGTCAATGTTTTTTTAATGTAGATAGACATAATGTTTTTCTTGGACAACAACATAATGTATTTTTTTAGATAACTATTTTTCTATATTTTTGAAGAAATAACTGGATTACGAAATCTTGGCCCATCTAATGTCACTTAAAAGCACAATATGATTAGAGTACGTTTCTTCCTGGCTAGGATTGGCGTTTGGTGAACTGTATGGGCTCGGTTCACAAGTTAAGATGATGATGATGAACTGTATGTTTGGGTTGATGACAAAAGGTTATAAATTAGGAATCAGAGAATTAAACACAGTAGGGACGACGAAGATCACGAAAGCTGGACCATGTCGTAGTTTCCGTAGAAACACCCCAAAGGAAAAAAAAAAGGTTATTTCTCGGACTCTTCTTCCAATATTAGTGACCAATGCATCCAACCCATACGTTACGTAACTCACTTCTTTGGCTTCTAGAAGGATTAAGCAACTTTCCTACCTTAACGAAAATTCGGCAAAAAAAAACACCAAATTTACACGAATTGCCACGTTTGATTGGATGAAATGCAAGGTAATTTATCATTGGGCTAGTCGCACATTCAATGTATTTACTAACATATTTACTTATATTTGATACTGATTAAATATAAAAAAATTCTATAAAAACTTTTAAAAAATCTTTAAAATTTCAAAAAATGAAAAATAAACATTTTTTTATAAAATTAATTTTGAAATTAAAATTAAATAAAATTTTATTTTTCTTTAAAAAAATCAGACGGGTACTTATAAAATTTTATTTTTCTTTCAATGTATCTATTAACACATTTACTTATATTTGGTACTGATTGTATATAAAAAAATCTATAAAAAATTTTAAAAATAAAAAAATAAAGAATTTTCTTTTTATAAAATTAATTTGAAAATTAAAATTAAAATAAAATTTTATTTTTCTTTAAGAAAATCAAAAATCTTCCATAATTTTATTTTAAAGAAAAATAAGATTTTATTTTAATTTTAAAATTAATTTTATAAAAAAATTCTTTATTTTTTTCATTTTTTAGATTTTTTAAAGTTTTTATAGAATTTTTTTATATTCAATCAGTACCAAATATAAATAAATCTGTTAATAGATACATTGAAAGAAAAATAAAATTTTATATGTACCCATCTGATTTTTTTAAAAGAAAATTATTTTAATTCTAATTTCGAAATTAATTTTATAAAAAATTCTTTATTTTCATTTTTTTGAAATTTTAAGGATTTTTTAAAATCTTTTATAGAATTTTTTTTATATTCAACCAGTACTAAATATAAGTAAATGTGTTAGTAGATACATTAAATATGTCATTAGCCCAGTGGTAAACTAACCTGCCATTTGATCCAATCAACTCGGGTTTGAATCCAGAGGTCTACGTCTTTTATTTTCAAATTGCTTAAAATGACGTCGTTTCATCTCAATTGAATACGACGTCGTTCCATCCTAACGTCAATAATTAACTCCCGAGTTTACACCATCTTAACTGCTCGTTAACGGTGTGTTAAAATGGCGAGTCAATCGTAAGTTTCTTAATAAACTAATAAAGTCAACAAAAGTTTATGTTTCTTTTGACCAGACTCGAGTACAGGTTTCTTTTGACAATTCATGCAAAGTTGGTGCTTCTTTTGACCGAATTCTCCTACCTTAATGTATATGCTGTTCGTTGTTATTGCCTACCAGCATGAAGTGGAACGTTGTCTTACAAGTTAAAATTGAATGGACAACTGTAACAACCAATTTCTAGTATAAGATAAGGTGTGTGTAAATGTTTAAAATACTTGTTTAATTATTTATTGTAGTTAAATGCATTTACTTTTTCAAGTACTTATATAGAGATAATTTTTTTAGAATTAAATACGCTTAAACTTGAATAGTTTAAAAATTAGTAACATGAAAGTTATTTTTTAACACTGTGGAGTAAGGACAAATATCATGTGATAACAGTAGAAACAATAAGCCAAACCTTTGAACTCAAAAAAATAATAACACATCCACCATCTCACAAAGTAGAATCCACCGAATGAGAGCGCATGGGAGCCATACGTGGCACTTGCTAAATACTATCACTAACCATGGAATAGTAAATGTATTATTAACAACTCTCATACGATTTCTCTTTAATACACTCTCTGTTCCATATATTAACTATGATAAGGGTTGGAACTTTTATCCGGGATCCGGATTCGATCCGAGATCCGTTCTGGATCCGTTCCGGAATTAGGATATCCGGAGGTACCAGGATTCAAATCCGGATAGTAAAATCTCGGATCCGTGCAAACCGAATCCGAATCCGGATAATTTAAATTTTTAGGTCTGAATATCTGGATTCAGATCCATATTTTTTAAAATATATTAACTTTTTTACTTTATTATTAATTATATCTGATATATTAATATTTGTATATAAAATAAGTTAAAAATTATTCTAATTTTATATTAATACTATTATATGTTATATATATGTATTCATAAATTATGCATAAATATTTAGTTTATGTTATTTTTAGAATTTTTGATTTTTCTACAAAAATTAATTATTTTTACGGTTCCGAATCCAAATCCGAATACCTACGGATATTACAATATCTTGACGAATATTCGAAGCCCGAATATCCGGAAGACACAAAGCCAAATCCGAATACTAAAATCACAGATCCTCCGGATCCGGATCCGGATAATTCAAATTTTCCGGATATCCGGATCCGTCCCACCCCTAGATGTTTTGAAAAGATTTGATGTTCCAAATATAAGATGTTGTAATACTCTTTACGTTTTATTTTAATCTCGTTTAAGGTTTATACATACAAATTAAAAAAATATTTAATTTGTATATTTCAAAAAAAAATATTATATAATTTAATCATATTTCAATCAATAGAAAGATAAACAAAAAATATTATTAATAAATTTTGTATTAACATTATTAAGACAATTTTTTTTTTAAATTACTCTACAACAATAAATAAACTGAAACGAAAATAATATTATTTTTAAGAAGTTAAGTTTCTCAATTTATGTGTGTTTATGCAAAACATTTTATATTTTGGGGAGTACCAAAGTTTTTTATCCCTATCCCTAGTAAATGCTTTGTGTCGTTTGACAGAAAAGTGGCATTAAAGAGAGGTACAACGCCAACATGTCTCTCTCGTTTCTTTCGTTGATTCTTTTATGAATTTTTGATTCATATGCCTAACGTCGTTGCACATACACCACAGGTTAGCCTCACCTACCCCCATCCCATTTCCAAGTAAGTTTCTCCTACACTTTCTTTCTCTTTTCCATTAACTATCGTCCTTCCCAAACTCTAAACATACTACAAAAAGATCTCTGCTCTATAAATAATGGATGAATATGATTTTATCCCTTTTTTACTAAATTTTATCCTATTTTAGACTATAGTAAATATGTAATAAAGGCCATTCTTCCCCTTTTTGTGGGAGAATATTAACTCCTTTTTTGTTATAATATCAAATTAAAGGCTACTATGCAACCAACGCAGTCAAAACATTATAATTTCAAATCATCCAATTTTTTCTTGGGCAGGAAATGATAATTTTCCATAAACTGAGTCATGGATAGTTGACTTGTGGTGATAATAATTTAAATATATATTTCCTTTTTTTGTTTTTGAAACATAAATATATATTTCCTTATTATATGAAAGTATACAAAAAAAAACGAAGGGTAGAGAGAAGTGTGTGATCCAACGTCTTTGTTATATAAAACCAAACCTATTATTTCGCAACAAACATTGACTCAAAGAGATAAAAGACTTGGAGAGAGAGAAAGAGAGAGAGAGAGGCTAGTGAGTGAGCCAACGTTTTGAGACTCTGTGGAGGAGATGGATCCAACGACGCCTCTTCTTGAGAACGGTGGTGGTGGTGGTGGTGGTCATGAGATAGAAGATGATTACTCTCCCGCGAGGACGTTGAGCGACGTGACGCGAGTCTTTTCTATTGAGACGGCGAAGCTGTGGCAAATAGCTGCTCCCATTGGTTTTAACATCATCTGCTCGTACGGTGTTACCTCCTTCACCAATATCTTCGTCGGCCACCTCGGCGATATAGAGCTCTCCGCCGTCTCCATCTCTCTTTCAGTCATTGGCACCTTCTCCTTCGGCTTCTTGGTACTCTCTTTCTCTAGTTTACCTAAATCTCAGGACCGGCCCTGAACATAAACAAAAAAAAATATTGGCTTATAGTCTCTAACATTTTAAAATAATTTACATAGACGCACAAATTTATATTAAATTATCTATATACGCTAAAATCTCAGGATCGGCCCTGTTCATATAGTCAAAGATTTTGTTAAAGCCTGATGAAACTTGTTTTGGTGCAGCTTGGCATGGGAAGTGCACTTGAAACACTTTGTGGACAAGCTTTTGGAGCTGGTCAAGTCAACATGTTAGGAGTTTACATGCAGAGATCATGGATCATTTTGTTTGTTTCATGCATCTTCCTCCTTCCTATTTACATCTTCGCCACACCAGTCTTGAGACTTCTTGGTCAAGCAGAGGAGATTGCTGTTGCAGCTGGAGAGTTCACTCTTCTAACCATCCCTCAGCTTTTCTCAATGGCTTTCACTTTCCCTACCTCTAAGTTCCTTCAAGCGCAGAGTAAAGTAATCGCCATTGCTTGGATTGGTTTCATTGCTCTTATCATGCACGTTGCTATGCTTTGGCTGTTTATAGTCGTGCTTGGTTGGGGAACAAACGGTGCCGCTTTGGCGTTTAGTATTACGAATTGGGGAACAGCGATCTCTCAGATTGTTTATGTGATTGGTTGGTGTAATGAAGGATGGACTGGCTTGTCTTGGTTGGCTTTTAAAGAGATTTGGGCTTTTGTTAGACTCTCCATTGCATCTGCTGTTATGCTTTGTCTTGAGCTTTGGTATATGATGAGTATCATTGTTCTTACTGGTCGTCTTGACAACGCTGTTATCGCTGTTGATTCACTTTCTATATGGTTAGTCACTTTCACCAACAATGCTTTGTGTCTCTAAATGAGTTTCTCACGGCTTGATTTTAATTTTTTTTTTTTGACATTTCAGCATGAATGTGAATGGCTTGGAGGCTATGTTATTCATTGGAATAAACGCTGCTATAAGGTACCATCACAGTAAATTTTTCAGGTGATTGTATGTTAGACTTATGAAACTAATGTGTTGTTTACTTGTGTTAGTGTCCGTGTCTCCAATGAGCTTGGGTTTGGCCGTCCACGAGCAGCTAAGTACTCTGTCTATGTGACAGTGTTCCAGTCTCTTCTCATTGGTTTTGTCTTTATGGTGGCTATCATCATAGCTAGAGACCATTTTGCTAGCATCTTCACAAGCAGCAAAGAACTTCAACAAGCTGTGTCTAAGCTAGCTTATCTTCTTGGTATAACCATGGTTCTTAACAGCGTGCAGCCAGTTATTTCTGGTAAATCAAAATTATTAAAAAAAAAATCTCATCTCCATCAAAACCAAAAACACCAGAGAGGTTTTCCATCATAACAGGTTTATTCATCTGATCATTAGGTGTGGCTATTGGAGGTGGTTGGCAAGGCCTAGTGGCTTATATTAACTTGGGATGTTACTACATTTTTGGCCTTCCCTTTGGGTATCTTCTTGGTTACAAAGCAAACTTAGGAGTTATGGTAAGTAAAAACATGCTTAATATCTACTGAAGTAGTGAAACTTTCAGGTCGCCTGAATGTGTTTTTTTTTATATAACGTTTTCAGGGACTATGGGCTGGAATGATAGCAGGAACAACGCTTCAAACATTGTTACTGATGGTTGTTCTGTACAAGACAAACTGGAATAAAGAGGTAAGAAAGACACAAACATATACACTTGTTCATTGAGATCCATTAAAATGTATAGTAACAAAAGACAATTGTGATCAACAGGTGGAAGAGACGATGGAACGTATGAAGAAATGGGGAGGGAAAGAAACAACATCAAAGGATTTAATTGCATGATTTTTGTGGTTTCTCTTTTGTTTAGCTTTGAAAATGAATATGTAGCTCGTCGGCTTTTGTTTGTGTTCTCTCATTGGTTTGGTACCCAACAGTAGAAACTTTATTAGGCTGTAGGAAACTGTTCAATCAGTGAAGTAAACAAACGGTGGTTTTGTTATTTTCTTCCAAAATGAAAGGAAAAGATGCAACTGAAACATATCAACTTTATGAATGTATCAACCAGCTTATTTTTCTTCCAAATGTCAGGTACATTTTCTCTTGTGACTTGAATGTATCAACCAACCAACTTGTTTAAATTTTCACAAGAATTCAAGACACCCTTTACTATCTTATGAATCCAAGACTTGTATTTTTCCAACAAATAATTGCTTAAGAAATTGTTTTATTTTCCATGTTCTTAGTGTTGTGTGAAAGAAATAAAAACCGCGAATATATATACCTTTGCAATGGGAATTGAAACAAATAGTCAGGATGGCCGAGTGGTCTAAGGCGCCAGACTCAAGTTCTGGTCTTCGAAAGAGGGCGTGGGTTCAAATCCCACTTCTGACAACATTTTTTATTACTTTGCAATTAATTTTGTTAAGACTAGTTCTAAACATCTCAAGTACCATCAAAACCAGTTCTGTTGAAGCATATCCGATAAAGAAGTAGCTAACAGCATTAGTCTCGCTTAACCTTCTTTGATACACCAACAGTCTTTCCTCTGCGACCGTCTTGGTGTGTTGTCCACAGACACGGAGACCTCAGTACCTCTGATTCCACGGTGGTTCCGAGATTTTCTTGAGACTTTAACAATCATCCCAGAGCTTCATGGAGACAACTTGAGAGTATTTTTTAGTCTTTGTAGTCTTTCTGTCTGTTCAAGAACCAGTCTGGAATCTTGTATTAGTTACTTTGATCGAAACAAATCCCAATGTCTAACTGGCGAGAACGGTGGTTGCAGCGAAGCTCAAGTCAACTTGTACTTGGTGAGTACTTCTGTACTTGCAATCAACAAAATCATAGCTCAAGGAGAATTGTATTGTTTCCAAATTCAAGAATCTTACCAATGACATTCATCACCACAAGGATAAAAAAGTTGGTTCAAATCATATTTCAAACTAAGAGGTTTTTAAAAAGCCAGGTCCAGTTGAGTAAGTTAAAGAGTTTGAATTTAGTGGGAAAAAAAAACATAAACTAAACTATAAATTCAAAAGACAATAAGATAGAAGCAAAACTTGAATTAAGTTAAAGAGTGAACTTCTAAGCAGCAGTAGCAGCCTTGGTCTTCTTAGGTGCACGGTAGGTACCAACGACACAAGCATGGTCACGCTCAAATGGCTCAAGCGTCACTTGCTCTGCTGGCTTGAACTGCTCTTGTTGCAGCTTCTTCACTTCGCTCTGAAACACTGCTTCTGCTGGAACTGTTGAGTCGATACAGTTAGCCTGCATAAAGAAAAAAAAAATAACAAGTTAACTACATTGTTTTTGGAATAGAGGAAAGAATGTTCAAAGTTGAATGAATGTTTTGGAATGGTACTAACCTTGATTGAGATAACAAAGTGACCTCCTGTTTTGAGGAAGAAGTTTGCATTCAAAATCACGATCCTAGCCTATTAATGGGGTTTTCAAGAACAAACAACATTACATAAAATACAATAATCACATCAATATAATAATATGATCATTTAGCAACACTTGACACCAAAATGACATTAGAAAATTTGAACAAGAAAAGCCAAATGACAAATACTAATATGAATAAAATATGTTAGCTTTAGCTAATCAGGAAAATCAAAACCAATTCTGATTTTTTTTTAAATGGATACTTTGCTTGAAAACAAAAATGGCATAAGCAAAATGTACAGAAGATTGCTATTTTTTAAGAACAATACTTAAATCTGAAAAGAAACCTTTTTTTTAAACAACTAAAGAAACCATATTTAAGAATTGGGAAAACAAGATGTTCTTAAGCATCAGAAACTTGGAGTTTACATCACCCAATGATGATCTGAAGGGGAATCCAAGTAAGCTCATCATTTGCCATCATCAGAACACCGTTTTAAACTCAAAGCACAAAAAATAATGCTATACAGCAAAAGTTTCTGAAGCAAAAATTTGAATTAGAGTATCATGAATTGATTAAAGAAGCAAACCTGATCAGGGACAGAGGACCGACATGTGGCAACACGTGGCTAGTCTGGACCACTTATGTGGGGCCAGGATACCTCTGTATAATTCAAAAAAAAAAAAAAAAAAAAAAAAAAAAAAAAAAAAAAAAAAAA